GCAAAGGAAAGAAATATTGAAGAAGGAACATCCTATATTCTTGCTGACAATTGCATCCAACAGCTGTGGTGATTATGGTTGTTCCTGAATGATTCTTGAGGGAATTGTTTTGTTTTCAACTGGACATTCCTTTCTGTTTTGGAGTCTGTAAGACTTAAAAGTGGGTGAACATACCTTTTCATAGGATCATAGGATAATTGAACTTGGAAGGGATGTCAAGAAATCATCTGCTGGATTGTCCTCATGGGGAGAACAGGTTTCCCTTATACCGGATGTGAACTTCTCTTGTTTCAGGTTATTCCATTGTTTCTTGTCCTGCTACCATGTAATAGTACAAAGAGCCTGGCTCTCTCTACACAATGATCTCCCAATAGGCAAGAGGAGGCTCCTTTAAGGTGGCACCAAAGCCTTCTCTTCTCCAGGCAGAAGTAGCTTTGATAGGCACATTTGTCATCAGTGCCACCTTTGTTTATATTGTCCAAGAACTTGCATAACCACCTGCCTGGCTTATCTATGTGTTTTGTCCTGTGACCTTTTTTAGCAATACTTCTAATTCAGAAATCACATTTTAACATCTTCTGACTGTTTCTAACAATCACTACCTACCAACATGATCCTTGTAGTTTCAAGTACCTCTTAAAATATTAAGTGATTGAAACTTGAAATAAAGAGTACCTAACATGAAGCTTTTGGAGATTAATAGGAACACTGTTATCTGAATAAGAGCTTTCCAAATTGCTAAGGGATCTTGGAAAAAAATATTTTTCTTGGGTAAAACTGTGGGTTTCTGCTACACACAGAATGATTTTTTTAAATTGTGCTTTTGCTGTGAACCTCTAACATACTATGAAAAATAGTTCCAACATTCTTTTTAAAGTATTTCAAAAGTCCTTAAGTTGCCTTAAAAGCTTACTAAAATTTAGTTCTTGAATGTGAGTGCTGTTTCATTTTGAGGAGTTCTAGTATCTGTAGACCTCATGGAAGCACTAGGAGTTTGAGACACTATTACTGAGTGGCACTAGTGGAAATTTAGGGGCCTTCTACACATTCAAATCTACGCTGGACCACCTTGGTAAACTCACCATCCTGCTGCATCTGGGAGGTCTGATTAGCTGTTGTCAAAGTCCCTGGTTTTTGTTTTTTTGACACATTAGTGCTCTTCAATCCCATGGTGAAGTTGAACAAATTCATTTAAGAGATCAAAAGAATGTACCTGTAAATTACAGGCAAATGATTCAAATATATGGGTTTAACCCCAGAAGAGTTTCTGAGCTGAACACTAAGGCTAGTACTTTCTTTCATGTCGTATTTCTCCACTGTGTGATAATTTCACTGGCCACATTGCTCAGAAGTAATTAATGAATGTGAATTATACAGATGATCCCAAACAAGTGTCAGCAAAATACATCCACTAGAGTTTGTTATGTATTTATGTCTATCAGAAAAATAATAAAATTAAAGAGTTAACTTGTGCGTGCTATTTCTTGCAGTGCAAAATTCATGCTGCCTTAATGGGTCAGACAGGCCTTGGAATTACAGAAATATCAAACCAAATATGTAATTGCTTTATCTTCAAGGAGTTATTAATTTAAAATCTGATACCTTGTGAACCACCTCCTCTGTGTACAAATATTATGCCTCACCAGAAAGCATGGAGTTCTAGTTCTTCAAAGGGCTAAGATACAGATGTTTCTGTGCTGGTGATTCATTGTACAGTAAAATGTCACTGCCTAGAGAACAGCACTGCATACTAAAGTTTAATTTCACCTGATTCCCATTTGGAGGGGAGGAAGGAAACATTTTTATGTCATAAAAAAGTAAAAAAAAGCAGCTGTTTGATATTTACTGAGGGGATTGGAATGTAGTTTTAGTTGAGGTGTGCTAGCAGTCTGAAAGCCAGCAAAGAGGCAGAAGGTGCAGAAGAGGTCCATGATACTTTTCTTAAGTCTGCCATATAAACACAGCTATCAGAAACGCATCTGAGTGTGATCAGAATTGTGCATACCCACCTGCATGTATTGCACAGACAAATATTGAGAACCAGGGCTTTAGAGGTCATATTCTTATTGACCTAATGCCTTAAGCTGAGGGTCACAGAATTAAGCTGATTTTACTTAAGTGCCAGAATATGGGTTTCTGTTTTTAAGCATACACGTTCCACTTTGTGTTACTTTGCCTGCATTTTTGAATGGAGTTCACAGACCTGGAATTCAGTATGAAGGTATTCTCCATGGTGAACTAGGAGTTTCAAAAATGTGATTTATAACAGGGGGAATATATATGCCAGATGATATAAAACACTGAAGAGAAAGACCTCTCTGGAAAATTATTTCGCTTCTGGTTTCAGGAATAGTACAAGATGGTTTCAGAGGTGGAAACCACCTTCTTGTACTTAAGACACCCAGATATCTCTGTTTTTTCATTTAAACAACATCCAGGATAGCCTGGGCATTAAGAGAAGAAGCAAAGCAAAGCAAAATCAAAAAAAGAACCCACCAAAAAAAAAGAACAAGAGGTAGATAATATTGATTCAGGACCTTCCTTAGAATGAGACAATTTAAGTTCACATTTCTGCTTCCCAGGAAGTTGCCTGTGCATGAGCCTAGAAGAGAGGATGAAAAAAGTAAAGTCTCTCCTGTTGCAACTATGACTCAGTGTAGAAAAAGATGTGGGATTTGTAATCTTGATTTAAGCAGAAAGCTAAACATTATTTCATAGCTTAAGGATGGAGGCACTTACCTACTGGGGGAAGGAGGTGGGGAGGCAACCTGGATTCTGGCCTCTGCTTCAAGCACTATTTATGTATGTTACTCAATTACAAATGCAAAATATGTAGGCAGTTCCTGGGGCAAGAACGCAAGACTTCCTCTTGTAAAGGAGCACCTATTAGGGTTGCAAATTATCCTCCCTCAGTGAATCCTACTTCCCATCCAGTACAGAAGTATGGCTTCAGCAGGCATGATGGACCGTTCTCCAGCCTGAGCTTCACCTTGAGTTGGTAGTGGATGTACTCTTGGGAGACGTGGTATGGATCTCAGGAAGAAGAACCGGCATTTCCCAGTGAACTGGCATCTCCCAGTTCATGAACAAGTGCCTAATCTACAAGTACGATACTACGTAAAATGATGGCAGTCATGCTGCCACAACCACTGGACATGTTTCTTGGAGAAAGTTGTGCTTCATGATGAGGTTGGCGTATGTTAGGCATGCTCAGAAGGTGCCGACCTCATGAAGCCTCTCAGGAGATGCCTCACCTGTACAGCAGAGGCAGGCTTTGGTGCAAGGTAGGTTTCAAGACTTTCGGCTGTATAGATAATGCAGTACCAGAACTTTAGATAATTTTATCATTGAAAAACTGATGTAGATTTTTGTGGCACATTTCACAAATATGCATAAACATAGCTTCCTGGCATTTTGTTGTTTTTTTAAATTTAGCTGTCCATGACTTTCTCGAAGTTATTTTGTGAACCAGTGGAAGGACATAAAATCCTGCTCTACAGTCTCTCTGTAACACATGTAAATATATTTACAATTAAAATCAGTCTTTTAATGTTATTTTGTTGGAAATGAGGTAGCTGGCACGTATATGAATTTGAGAAAAATCTCCTATGATACTTTCCACATCTATTAAACATTTTGTTTCTCTGTCATTGTCATGTGTTTATTAGTTCCTTGAGAGATTTTCCAGTGAGTTCTTTTTTCCATCTGTCCCTTCTTCTCTTTCATTCTGGGTTTTGTTCCCTCAGAAGACCAAAATCCCACTCCCTTTTCTCCTCTCATCATGTATTTCCTTCTAAAGAGACTACTTGTCTAAATGAAGCAACAGGAGGATGAAGGGCATAATGTTTTTGCTGTTATTTTGAATACAACATTATAAATATTGTATTGGAGCAGGTTGCCCAGAGAGGGGTGGTGGAGGCTCTATCCCTAGAGACATTGAAGGTCAGGCTTGATGGGGCTCTGAGCAACCTGATCTAGTTAAAGATGACCCTGCTCAATGCCGGGAGGTTGGACACAATGATCTTTAAAGGTCCCTTCCATCTCAACACATTTTATGAATCTATGATAAATACACACTTGTAGTTTTTATGTATTCATGGATCGATATTTGCTTTGTATAATCCTAAACAATCCATAATAAATTAGACTTTCTAGTAAAAAATACACAGAAGACTATGGCAGGAAGAGACTTCAAATGATTTGTGTTTAAACAAAAAGGTTAAGCCACTTCTGCTCTCAGACCTCAGTTCAGCAAAGTACTTAAAACGCCATTGGATAAGGTGCTTAAGTACCCTTTTAAGTTTTATGCAGTGTGATAGAGACATTTCGGTAAGTGGAGCCTTATTTGGGAGAACAACAAAATCCAGGTAGCAAAAACCAGGATATTGGCCCCCGCTTTGCTTATGGCTGTTACCTTTCCTTGGTTCACTACTAGAATCCACTCTTAAAAGTGTGTCCCTCTGAATATTGGTTCACCAAAAAGAACTTCTGAATTAACTTTCCTATTAGGGAGAAAGTAACTAACTTCCAGGTGATAATGTACTCTTTGATGGTTTGTTGAGCTTTACACATCTTGAATTTGCTCAAGTAGGCCATATTTTGCTTTTTCTATTGGTCATCTAAAATGGTTACACAACTGCAGTCCCAGTAACATGGATCTGAAACTTCAGCTCCTAGAAATATGGAAGTTGAAAATGTCCAAGAAACGACAGACTTTTTAGACGATGCAGAAGGAAACAGAAATGCTGAATTTCTTCTCCTCCATCACTGTACTTGGATTTAAAATTTTTTAATACCAATGAAATGGAGACATTGCTCCTGTTTGCAAAAAAGGGCTCCTGTCTGAAAAAAAGGGTTTCTTGAGTCAACTCAAAGCTTTGGCCTTATTCAATGTGTTTTGCAGCTATGCCATGCACAGGCCTCCTTTCCCCTAACCACCAGTCAGTCAGTACGCATTAGAGGGCCAGAATCCCTTAGAACCAAAAACCTAGGACTGCCTCTAGGGAAAATTCCATTTTTTATTTTTTTCACTCATCATTTCTTTACAAATACACATTATAACTTTTATATACATTGCACATTTACATGGTAGAAAAGTACAAAACTATATATTTAAATGAATTTATATTTAACTCGCCATGTTTGAAAATATAAAATTGCATCAGAAAAGAAGTATTATGAAAAGCAAGAAACTTGAACTGATAAAGCTTTGATATAACTTTTAGTGACACACTGATTCCGAAAACTTTGAAAGCGGTACTGCAAGACCATCTTAAAGGAAACACCTGATAGAACACTTACGCATGTTACAAAAAAAGTAAAACAATAAAAATAAAATAAAACCTTTATTCTCATTACAGTTAGCCCTGTAGCTATTAACAACCTTCATAATCCGATTTCGTTGGGTCCAGAATTTGTATAGTACAGTATATATGCTCAGCACTTTGAGATCACTTCAGTACATGACGTGATCAGAAGTAGAAAGAAGTGGAAGAAGTTTCCTTAAAGATCGCCTCACTGTACCCTGGAAGTATACTTAAGTCAGTTACAATGCCTTTTGGTCAGTCAAGATTCCTTGTAAACAAACACCCGAGGGATCTTTTATGTACAGAATTGGCAAGAAGAATATCCAATAAATAAACATAACAGAAACCGACATGCAAGTTGGTTAAAGTGGAAAAGTGTAACACCAGTGAAACAAAGAGATGAGATCATGTGGGTAAGCTCTAAGGAATGGACTCTTATAGTTTACAAGAAAAAAGAAAAGCTTTACTTTACAAGCAAGAGACCTCACAATAAATAACACTGCTCTTCCCGTAACGAATAAATTTCTTCAAAAAACAAGGTGTACAGTCAACCAGACATTTTATGTATAAATTATAAAACATGACACAGTATAAATAAATGTCTACGAGACTCAACTATATGTATACTTTTTTCCTCCCCAAAATAAATAAGCATACACTTATTTACAGTACGGACACTGATTTCGTCCCCAATGGCTGTTCCAATGTGATGGAGGTTTTACCACTCTAGAATGGAAGATATAGGAAAGCTGTAGTCCTGGTCTTCATCTTCCTCTTCATCCTCTGGGTCTTCATTAATGGCTAGATGGGGGAATACAGGGGAGCTGTTGTTTATATAAGGACAACAACAGCGCAGAAGCAGCTCAGTGCATGTTTTCAATGCCCTCTGAACAGCCATAACAGAGCGTTGCATTTTATGCGACTTGTAGTGAGATGCTCTTTGGCATCTGCTGTTATGCAATAAGGTTTTTTATACATAATATATGAAGTCATAACTGCAGAAAGATGTGAAGAATCAATGGCTCAGGTTTTATTGGCAGACTCCTGAAATCAAATGAAAAGCGCTTCTTGCGTTCTAGTTTTAACTGGTTTGTGTCCTTCATTCAGAGTTAGTAGAGGCAACTGTGCTCAACCAGATGCCCACGCGCTACCATTAAGCTAGTTCTTTTGGACCGAGTCATAGAGTTTTTCCAGGTGTCAATAAAGAAATCAGTGAAGCACATGAGAGCAGACAAAGTAGAAAAAAAAAATGCTAACATTACATTCCTAGAGCAACCCGTTTCTGATAAAATGCTTTGTCCTTAGAATATCCCCAAATCCCCAACTTGAAGGCCAACTCGTTGGAGATCAATTGCATTCTATCAGTAACCAAAGTGTGCGTGTGGTAGATACATACTTATATGGTACCTGAAAAGACCTCTAAATCAAGCTTTCTTATGTTTGAAGGTGTAAGTCTTCGTTACCTAAGGATTGCCTTCAGAAGCTTTAAGTGTCTGCAGAGATAAAAATCTCACTTACAGTTGCAAGATCCAGAGTGCTTTACTTCTAGAAGCACACCCATGGAGCAGGCTGCCTCTTTCATGGCACACTCGCTTGGGTAAGTTGTGTTATCACTGGCACAGACTGCCTCGTCTGACTTGCTTTCCGGGCATAGCTCATCGCAGAGGGCGCACCGACCTCTGCCAACCTTAAAATCCCACAAGCATTTCTTCCCAGCGCTGCACTGAATGTCTTCACAGGACTTGGCTTCTGAAAATACACAGAGCATACTAGAGGTAAGTGAAAAGACAAAGAAAAAAGCAACGCAACAGTAAACAACCCCAAACTCCCTCTTCCTGTGAGCTGTGAATAGACAAAGCTCAGATGCAGTAGATGCCATGGTACTTGCTGATTTTGCTTAAGCAAGTAGTCCCTTGGACACCATTGCCTGCCTATGTGTGGGGGAGGAAAGACAGCTGTGCCAGCAGAGCTTGGCCCTGGGAATACAGAATTACATTTGCCTGCTGTAAATGACTTTCCTGCTCCATTTGATGTCAGTGAAAATTCAGCTCCCCAAATTAGCACTAAGTGCAGAATTTGCCAACATATTCAGCATTTCTAAATCAATTATTTTAAAGCTAACTACACATGGTAGTTATCTACGAGACTGGAAAGGGAATTCCCCTCAACCTATGGCAACTAAAAATGGCCTAAGACTCTCCCGAATTCCCCCAGCAGTTGTGGAGAGCAGAGGCTGGCCTCAATGTGCTTCCTTGGCAACATGCTTCACTACCAGTGCTTCCTGGAAATCATGATACAAAATGCCAGGATGCACAGAGATTATTTTCCTATCTTCACCCATCAACTGTCTCCAAACTCTGCAATATTTCTAAAGAGTAAAAAGTGATCAGATGTTTCCAATTAAGTTAATGCAAGCTTTGCCAAGACCACTTGGAAGACAATTGTTTCCAAGAATCCAGATCCATTGCATATCAAGACCTTGTTACACCGTAACCACGTCATCATCTAATTAATGGCAGGTACTGCTCCCTTGGACACTAATGTCAGCATGCAAAGCAATAGCAAGAGAAGCAGCTTCAGGCCCTCTACTCACTTTCTCATCTCTTCTGCAGTATTTTCTGGGGCAAAGCTTATGCTGGCCCTCCCCTTCCTGGAGAGATGCACTAACCCAGGCTTCTGGCAGTCTCCTCCTTCTCCCCAGTGCTAACTACACCCATACAGTTGCACAAAAAAATCGTCCAAAACAACTGATCAAGGAAGCTCCCCCCACCCTTACCCTCCAACCAAGATACCTACTGATGCATTTTCCTTCGTAGGCTAATCCAATGGATCTGCCCAGGAGGCAGGTAGCTTTCCTCAGGTGGCAGGCACTGGCGTAAGTTATGCCGTCATTCCCGCAGAGGTACTGTTCAGGGGAGGTAGGCTCTGGGCAAATTCGATTACATGTCACGCAGTAGGCATTATTAGTTTGGTCAACCACACATGTGGAGCTGCCTGGGCATAAAACATCCCTACAGGTCTCTGAAATAAAGATGGAAACACATGGTGATTAATATGAGATCCCAAGGCCCCCGTAAGAAGTGACTGAGGTGACACAAGGAAACTAATGATCAGATAAAAGCCTTCAGCAGCTCTCCTCTTTTAAGGGCCACTGGAGGAACAGTTCCTATCTCAGGTTAGCTGGTGAGACACAAGTGCTGCTAGACTCTGTTGCTAGAGTGGGGAACTCTGAATCCAGCTATGTCCTTATGTGTTGAGCATGCTTTAGGTACTGTCTCCCAGCATTTGGAACATCACTCTGGTTCCTATCGGGGAAGTACATCCCACAACTCCTCCTCTCTAAACTCAGACACACACCCTTTGGCATTTGAGGGAGATGGGATTAGATTTGCAAACCTACTTTTGCATTTGCCCTGATATTGGACTTCAAGTTCGGGCTGTTCTTTACATCTGGCTTTGAGAAGGGCACACTCGTTCTTGTAGGTTTTCCCATCTAAGCCACACACGGGGCCCTTCCAAGTGATATTAGAGCAATCCGGAGCACAAACACACCGAGGTTTGTTCTTCTTGTTCATTTTACATTTCTTCCCAGGTCCACAGTCCACGTTCTCACATGTTTCTGATGGAAGGAAAGAGGCACCACTTTAGTATCGAGTGTGCAGAACAGACCTGGTGTCAAAACTGCTTAAAGAAAAAAAAAAAAAGCACCATGACACCAGAGCATTGAGAGAAAACACTTTTCCGCCCCTCCAGGAGACACCACTTGAGGGAAACTTCCCCCCACCAGCGGGGGCAGCAGGGGGAGATGAGGTCGATCCCTTCCTTCCCACGGTTTGCACGGCGACCGAGTAGAAATGAGGGTCCCTTCGCTGACCTCGGCGCTCGTACGAGGTACCCCTCACAGCCCCACCGAGGAAGCAAGCGGGAAGACTGCTTCTCCCCCCCGCACCCCGCTCCATCTCCTTCTCCCTTCTCCTCTCCCAGCCCAGTCCTTGCCTGAACC